TTTTATTCTGACTTCAGAGATGAACTTTTATCATGCTATAGAAATAATGAACCCAATTATAACAGTCTTGGCGAGAGCGAAAAGTTAATATATTTTTACAGAATGATAGTTTAGTAAACATTTTATACAGAACTATGTTATACATGTAGAAAAGAAAACTATGAACTATGAACATTATAACATGGTTGTTTTAAAACGCAACTATTTTTCATTTTTTATGTATACACTGATTGTATGGTTGTATTAATATACTACTGTGGCACTATTTCATTCATTAAGATCGTGAAGTTGTGCATATTACATATAGTATCTTATTTTGTTTACCATGTCTCACAAACTTTATGGCCGAGCGTAACTTTTATTTATCATCGAAAACTGGCTCCCACAGGAGATATCGCTTGGATGAGATCAAGCGATATCTACATTGTAGATATCGCTGCAATGAAATTGCATCTCAATGCTTTTCAGACCATTGTAACGTCATTGTTACCATGACGTCACAAGCAAATGACATCGCTAATGGCTCTGCTACTGAAGCTGTTAGCAGTGCTTTTTACACTTAAAACACTACTTATTACTGTCTGTAAGCTGAAAAACTTGGAAGAATGATGTTGGATGATAATTCTCTATATGTTTACCCATCCATTTTAACCCCACTATTGGTTTATTAATCATGGCAACTGTAACGTGTGGCACGCAAATAAACTATCACATTTCTCTCTTCTCTGTTACATGAAACAAATAAAAAACTTGTATTTTGAGAGGTTCATTTACAGAACCTTACACCTTTTGTAATTTAAACAGTTTCGTTTCATCCATGTCCGACAAGGCGACACTTGTTATATGTTTCAGGTTTCGCCACAATTATAAACTAGAAAAAAATAGTTCAAGGTCCTCCTTATTTATTAACATGCTCCAAAGCTCAATCTGTGATGGATTAGAAAAATAGAAAAGATACAACTATACATTTAAATTATATGGTGCTCCTCTTACTGAGAGACAGGTCGGTATTAAACAGAAGTAAAGAATGGTTAAATAAATAAATAAATAAATAAATAAATAAATAAATAAATAAATAAATAAATAAATAAGGAGTCCAACCAAGGAGATACACAATGTAGGTATAAATAAATAAATAAATAAATAAATAAATAAATAAATAAATAAATAAATAAATAAATAAATAAGGAGTCCAACCAAGGAGATACACAATGTAGGTATAAATAAATAAATAAATAAATAAATAAATAAATAAATAAATAAATAAATAAATAAATAAATAAATAAATAAATAAATAAATAAATAAATAAATAAATAAATAAATAAATAAATAAATAAATAAATAAATAAATAAATAAATAAGGAGTCCAACCAAGGAGATACACAATGTAGGTGTATTGACAATTACCTGTGCTGTTGAGAATGTGTGTCTAACTAAATTTCGTGGTTTTGGCTGAAATGTTTATAAACGACAGATATATTTTTCCAGAATTTAATTGCCCATAATTAAGGATGCATATAACAAACATATTATGCACGAATAAACAGCCTTGTGTACATTTATCAATCGGAAGGGGTGCTAATTAGGATTGTTCACTAGCAAGTATATTAACAAATATCGCCGTGGGCGCTTATTAGAGCGGGACGCTTATTACGTCGAATACGGTAGTAGTGAAAAATATGCAGTCATGGTCTACGAACAACAACAGGTTGTTGGCTACAACGGAAAATATGCCTTTTCTACGGTGGCCGATAAGGGACATGGAGTCTGTTTTTCAATATTTTGATGTTTCACTTACTTGTATCGTAACCTTTTGCAAATTAACACAATTTGTCATACAAATATGTGATAAATCATGTATAAAAACAACCGAAAACATGGAAAATGTACTTTCAAGTAGCTATTGAGTCGCTGAAATGTGAAGCGAAAATGTCAAAAAATAAAATGGAAATGTCAAAAACCAAAACGAAAATGTCAAAAACTAAAATGAAACAACAGAAAACTATTTCCACCGCGGTGGAAATAGTTTTCTGTGTTTTCATTTTAATTTTTGACATTTTCGCTTTTGTTTTTGACATTTTCATTTTAGTTTTTGACCTTTTCGTTTTTGTTTTTGACATTTTCATTTTAGTTTTTGACATTTTCGTTTCACTTTTCAGCGGTTCAATATCTTCTTTACACAAGATTTATCACATATCTGTAAGACAAATCGTGTTAATTTGCAAAAGGTTACGATAAAAGTAAGTGAAATATCAAATATGGAAAAACAGACTCCATGTCCCTTATGGGCCACCGTACTTTTCAGAGCTTACGATCAATAACTTGCTCTTTATACCCTATTATACCGTTGTATACCCATCTTGACGAATCATTGAATCATTTTCTGACAATGTTTAGTAATCTATCTCATTACGAGCCTAAAACAATCAAACAACCACGTCATATATACACTTACTGTGACAGAATAATTAATGCAAGTAAATTAAAGTTCAATGTAAATTTTCCATTCCCTGTTTCTATTCAATTTATATTTCGTTAATATTTTTGAGAGTGTATTCATTTTGTATACACGCACCACTAAAACCTTATCAACATCGACAACCTCGATGAAGCTTGCAGTCAAAATAAAACATTCAGATCTAAACGAATAAAGTGAAATAATGTGCATAATTTGAAAAAAAAACAAATTACTTTCAGTGGCAAGATCTCTCTCTCTCTCTCCGACTTTTTCTCACACACTTGCTCTCTCTTTCTCCTGACGTTCACCTATGCATTGTTTCCCCAGCAGTTCGAATGGGCCGGGTGAGGGTGAACGGCGGGAGTCGTGTTTCGTCATGTCTAAATTTAGCTTCATTACGGGCAGCGGACAGACAGCTTCATTATCTTTGCATGTTTGATGCAGGGGAGGGGAGGGGATGTGGAGGGGTGGTGGGGGCGGAGACATGATAATGACGGGAGGGCGAGTATGAACATGCTGAACTTTCCCTTGAACATGTTGACACATGCTGGACTGTTGTGCGTATTTGGGGCATGGGTGGCCAAGTCGTCTGAAGCGCCGAGCGCTGTGCAGAGTTGCGTCCCTTGGGCATGCCAGGAACCTATGATTGTGGGTTCGAATCCCGGTTCACCCCGATTATGTTTCTAGGTTTGTCAGCACCATACCCGTGTTCGTGATTTCACCGAAGTGGTAAACGTCTGAGACCTGCATCACCTCGGACTTTCCTCCCACATCAAGCTGACACGCCGTGATATAACTGGAATACTGTTAAAAGCGGCGTTAAACCCAACTCACTCACTTACTAGTTTTAAGTTATTGCATAAGGGGCTTCGGGACATGGCGTTCGGTGTTGCAGTTCATCATATGTGATTGTGTTGATTTATTACATATTTTCTACGTCTAATCGCTTGTATTATTATGTATAAAATAAGTTTTGTTTAAACTTTATTCAATGATTAATTGGATTGGCTATGACTGGTTTTTTTCTATTTTGAAATGTATTTGTTGTAAATACATTCAGAGAAGTCTGATAAGTACCAAATCACATTAGGAGTGAGTGAGTGAGTATGGTTTTACGCCGCGTTTAGCAATATTCCAGCAATATCACGGCGGGGGACACCAGAAATGGGCTTCACACATTGTACCCATGTCAGGAATCGAACCCGGGTCTTCAGCGTGACGAGCTAACGCTTTAACCACTAGGCTACCCGACCGCCCCAAATCACATTAGGATATGACATAGAAGAGTAACGAGACACATTACATTTTATTATTGAAAAGAAATAAAAACACCTCCAACTTCCTATGAACGATTGAACAACATTGTCACTTAAAGCCAGTTAAAGATTGTGGGAAAATGACAGTTCTAATAATTTCATAGATACTTAGTTTTATAAATTTGAACATTATTTAGGACTGGTCATTTATTCTAGCGTGTGTGTCGTAAAAAAATGTTACATGTATTTGGGGAGGCCATGAAAAAAAATATATGTAAAGATCACAACGCAGCTGTATAAAACGGCTCCTCTGAATATTTCAGTGGTAAACGATGTTCGCTAACCCTTGCACCTATACCAGTCCTCGCCACTTGAAACAGAATCATGAAATATGGCGATGATTACATTAGAGAAGATGGCATATTAGACTAACATTTGGTCTCTGAATTCTTATATTACAAAATATCATTCTTGACTCTAAAAATACAAAAAAAATTCCCTAGGCTGGTTTCGGAGCTAGCTTGAGCTGGCTAGACCTACTTTTGTATGCATTTCTAGATTATTTATTTTTTCATAAAATAAATATATTCCACGGTCATGGTGCAGGACTAATGGCATATGTGTGCTAATACTTACAAAGTGAAAACAAGCCATTCCGGTTATGAGGAATATTACAGTTATGACAAAATTAACAACAAAATATATAAAAAGTCCGCTTTAAAAGAAATATCCACTTTGATAGCGATAAACATCATCAGTGCGGATTACCTGTGATATGAGTAAGTGAGTATAGTTTTACGCCGCATTTAGCAATATTCCAGCAATATCACGGCGGGGGACACCAGAAATATGCTTCACACAGTGTACCAAAGACGGGAATCGAACCCGGGTTTTCGGTGTGACGAGCGAACGCTTTAACCACTAGGCTACCCGACACCGCACCGAATATATATGCATTTTATGAGAACAAAACCAGATTTATATAAAAACAAGATCAGCCTGCTCTATTAAATCAGCATCGATGTTTTCTTTTATTTTTAGAGGAGAGAAATGTTTTTGTGTAATAAAAGATCTATACAGTATATGTTTATCCAACCAAAGAACCATGTAATAAACAAACTCGCAAAAATCTAGCAGACGAGACCGTCCTCGTCTGCGAGTTTGTTTGTTGTTATTATTTTATACATGACCCTGTGGTCTGACCTTACTGATAGCGAAACATCCGTGTTAAAAACCAGGATTTCCGGAAGTGACGTCTCGTACTTTATTTTTAGCAGGGGGAACCCCTAGCAAAATGGCCACATTGCAAGTGTGTAGACGTTTGTTGTCGCGGGTTGTTTTGAAAACATCAGCCCCAGTGACAGTTCAGTCAAAGAGATACTTGAGGGTAAGTCGTTGTCACGTGTCTAAATGGAGGTGTATGTAAAATAACGGGTGTTTGTGGACATTAACTGTGAAACTGAAAGTTTAATATTTTGCGTTCCTCGTACACATTGGTGGACATAGCTGCTACTGGGTCATGCATGGCTGATCACACGATGGTGGGGGCTCGTTTATGAAAGGGGTCAGAATAGAGAACTAGGCCTATAGGTTCAAAATGTGTACACTATTACACAGCGTTCTGTAAGGTCAATATTACACTTACAGTAGATTTCTATAAATGGATTCATCTCGAGTCGTACTAATTTTAGGGGAAATATTGCCAGTAGCATGCAAATCGTTTAACACATCTTTGTCTTATAACTGAAATGTATGTAATATAAACAGTTAACGATTATGTTAATTATTTAGAGTCAATGTCTCATTTAGCACAAGCCACTTGCTGCAACGCACCAGGATGAGATACTTTAGACGAGGTCGGTCTTTTGTCCTTTAGTCCGAGACAAGTGAAAATCTAGATGGATTAATAATGTTTTCCTGAAATCTAGTTTTCTCACAAAAAAACAACATGAAATAAGCTGTGGACAAGCTGAATTGATGGATGGTTTCCCTCTCTTGTAATGTAGACCTGTGTTGACTATGAAGCATGTATCACCTTCAAACTCATAGTCCAATATTGATTTTTAAAATATATGAGTCTCATTATATGTCTAGATCTATTAATAATGTTGGCGTATGGTGTATAATATACAGAACATGGTATCAACTCGGCAAAGCTGTTGCATGTATTATTTATGATGTCAATAGATGTGTCACTTGTATAAACATTCATAAAGGAAAGTGAAAGTGGTAAGTTTTAGTGTAATAGTAGTATTCTTAAATAGAGACTATTTGTACAGTTTGGATATACAATATGGCATCTGAATGTTGAATTTAGAACATTATGACCATGGATTACTTTTTTGTTTAGGTCTGTGATAACGTGAAAATATATTGATTGGCTTGAAAGGCAATATAAAAACAATGATCACTGTCCAGTTGGCCATGGTTTGGAATGGGAAGGTTTTATAATGCCTATGTATGTTATCTGTCTAAGCTATTGTATGCCAGGTGAAACGTATCTGTTGCAGGTTGGTGACAGGTTGCCTAATGTCGAGGTGTATGGAGCCACGCCGAATGACGTCATTAATCCTGCCGAGCTGTACAAAGGAAAACGAGGCGTGTTATTTTCCGTAGTGGGAGCCTTCACGCCAGGTTGTAGTGAGGTAGAAAGATATACCGTATTCGACGAAATAAGCGCCCAGGGCGCTCTCAAAATTAGAAATAGGGGCTCTTATTAAAATATTATTTTGGTGAAAAAAAATAGAGTTGAAAGATAAATTTCGTGTTCATGTACGACAGATATATTTTTCCAGGATTTAATTTCCCATAATTAAGGTTGCATATAACTCACGAGTGCGTGTCATACGCGAATAAATAAGTCTTGTGAACATTGATCAATTGGAAGGGGTGCTAATTGGGATTGTTCACTAGCCAATATATTCGCAAATATCGCCATGGGCGCTTATTAGAGCGGGGCGCTTATAAATCCCTTATACCCCGCTTCAAAGTGAAAAGCAGCACGCTTTATCCGAGTCAATGAAAGTCATGTGACATTGCGCAAGCTAACCTCAGCTCAATCAAACAACTATCAATATTGACTTTGTATGAATTCTTTTATAATGTCATATTAAAACATGTCGGTAAGATCAATTTGTTGTAGCAGGATCACTCGGGGTACAGGGGGTTTAATGCGTCCCTCGTCAGGTTTTATACCTAACGAGGGGCACATAAAACCCCATGTACCAGGGTTAGAAATTAACTGAAAAAGTGATCCAGTCCACAGGGCTAACTGCAGCTGAACTTTACTAGCCCTGAAGAAGATCAGCTTAGCTGTCTTGTTTGGCAACAAATACCTTTACGCAAAGACGTACGTCTTTGATTTACAATAACAGTGTCAATTCGATATGAAATTAATATAGCCCCAGTCACTGCGTCCATGACACCCACACATGTTACGAAGGTGCGTTCAAACTTATTTTTGTGCGTCCAAGACGCAAAAACGCGCTCTTCAGCCAACACTGCTTTAAGGTTAGTTAGCCACCCAGGCTAGCGTTCTGCGGATGTTCTTAGCCCTGTAGGAAATACTCTAGCCACAGGCTAACGGGCGAGCGTTAATTTCAAACCCTGTGTACCCCGAGTGATCCTGCTACACCCTATATTGTCACCCCATGATATGATACAACATTTTAAGAAAAGAATTTTTTTTATAAAATTTTGTCAAATGTTTATAGCATCCTTTATATGTATTCATGTTCAATTTCAGTCACATATTCCTGAATACATATCAAATCATCAAAAGTTCAAGGTAGGTGAATGAATCATTTCTGTCTAAAACAATTATGCCTACTAAGTTTCTTGTGATTAGTTATTTTTTAATGTCTCAACCAATACATCATGTACATATGTGGGATGTAGGGGTGTCACGATAAATCAAACTATCGATATATTGATATTGGTAAGCACTTAAAGTCAATAAATCGATTGTTAAATCAGTTTCCGATCAATAGTATCGATTTCAATTAGGAATATCGATAGTTTCGATTGTATTTACCATATCATAAAATACATGCAATAATGCTTTTCAACGTTTTTTTCTGTTGATCATGAGTAGTAATTTACTCATGGTAATGTGGAAGTTTCTTTTTTTTAAATTATTAGGGTAAAGAAAAAACAATCAGTCATATCTCAAACTTTACTTTTTATTTGCTGTTATGGTTATCACATTTAAAGGAATCTTCAGTTCCAAGGTTTCATTCAACTCTAAAATCTATCTACAATGATACACTAAAAACTATCGATATTTATCGCAATAGTTGTTTGCAATATCAATAGTTACCGCAATAGTTTCTTTCAATATCAATAGTTATCGCAATAGTGATTTCCAGACCAATAGTCACCCCTTGTGGGATGTCACCTCAGAGAGGGCAGTGCGAGCCTATACTTAGGTAGAGTTTTCTCCCTTTGAACAGATCCTTACATGTGTTGTCAAATTCGGCATTTGATTTTATTGAAGCAGGAAGACTAGATTATATACATGAAATATAGCAACACCAACCTATTTTACTCAGTATGTGAAATAGGGAATTGTTTGTCTTAGTCATCTTCCCGAGGGGAGGGAGTTAACTGACGGTAAAAGTCCAGTTTCCACCCTTGCCGAACTTGGCTGGAATTTCTGGGCTTGATCGAGTGGCTATTACGAGTTATGTCCCTTGTATGTCCCTCCTCCTATTGACAAATCAGATTCCACCTCCCATATCACTTGCATTAGCTTCAAACAAAATGGCAACTCCCAGTCAAGACGATCTGATCAATAATCAAAATCTATAAATGATAAAACAGGTCTTACACATGATAAAACAGGTCTTACACATGATAAAACAGGTCTTACTTTGCAGAGTGCATCAAAGCACCTTGATTGAAAACATTAAAAGATTTGGAAAATATCTGTTGACGCTGAGTTGGCAGTTCACATGCTTTGCAAATCCTGCATTCGACCGAAATCTCTATGGCACTTTTATGAACCGGATGTCAATCTTGTTACATGATTTTGATTGGACTCTGCATAGACTCGTTAGTCCTGCCAAATGTTAACTCCATAATTCCAGCCTAGTTTGGCAAGGGTGGAAAGTGGACTTTTATGGTCAGTTCACTCCCTTGCCTGGGGAAGATGGTCTTAGACAGTTGGTGTATCATAATGGATCAGACATTCCAAGAATGTGGCAGCCATGGCTGATATTAAGGAGGTGGTTGTTGTTTGTTGTTTAACGCTACACTCAGCAATATTCCAGCTATATGATGGCGGTCTGTAAATAATCGAGTCTGGACCAGACCATCCAGTGATTGACATCATGAATGGACTCATGAAGCTGCATCAGAGCTATGTGGTGACTAGCGAACATTTTGGTATTCTGACTTCGATCCCATTTACTGTGTAGACGTACAGAGACAACTATTTGGTTTTTTTTGTTTAGAATCCTATATGACTAACCCTTCAGCTTTAGTTCTTGTACTGCAGCTGATCAATGGCTGATCTTTGTGTGGCAGGAGGAGGGGTATGATCTGATCTGCTGTGTGGCCGTCAACGACCCCTTCGTCATGGATGCCTGGGGAAAGGAACTCCGAGCTGAGGGCAAGGTGAAGTGGTTTATCTTACCTCCGTGTCAGAATGATGAGATATGATTGGTTCACGTGATCTTGATAAGATACTTTATCTTACCTCCGTGTCAGAATGATGAGATATGATTGGTTTACGTGATCTTGATAAGATACTTTATCTTACCTCCGTGTCAGAATGATGAGATATGATTGGTTCACGTGATCTTGATAAAATACTTTATCTTACCTCCGTGTCAGAATGATGAGATATGATTGGTTTACGTGATCTTGATAAAATACTTTATCTTACCTTCGTGTCAGAATGATGAGATATGATTGGTTTATGTGATCTTGATAAAATACTTTATCTTACCTCCGTGTCAGAATGATGAGATATGGTTGGTCCTCGTGATCTTGATAAAATACTTTATCTTACCTCCGTGTCAGAATGATGAGATATGATTGGTCCGCGTGATCTTGATAAAATACTTTATCTTACCTCCTTGTCAGAATGATGAGATATGATTGGTCCGCGTGATCTTTATAAAATACTTTATGTTACCTCCGTGTCAGAATGGAGAGATCTGATTGGTTCACGTGATCTTGATAAAATACTTTATCTTACCTCCGTGTCATAATGGAGAGATCTGATTGGTTCACGTGACCTTGATAAAATACTTTATCTTACCTCCGTGTCAGAATGGAGAGATCTGATTGGTTCACGTGATCTTGATAAAATACTTTATGTTACCTCCATGTCAGAATGATGAGCGATAAAATACTTTATCTTACCTCCGTGTCAGAATGATGAGATATGATTGGTCCTCGTGATCTTGATAAAATACTTTATCTTACCTCCGTGTCAGAATGGAGAGATCTGATTGGTCCGCGTGATCTCGATAAAATACTTTATCTTACCTCCGTGTCAGAATGGAGAGATCTGATTGGTCCGCGTGATCTCGATAAAATACTTTATGTTACCTCCGTGTCAGAATGGAGAGATCTGATTGGTTCACGTGATCTTGATAAAATACTTTATCTTACCTCCGTGTCAGAATGATGAGATCTGATTGGTTCACGTGATCTTGATAAAATACTATGTATCCCACCTGGGAGGGAAATAAATTTCAGAGTGGGAGAAAAAAATCCCTTATACCATGTTTACCCCGCTCAAAAGCAAAAAGCTGCACATTGTTTACAAGTCAATGAAAGTCATGTGACACAGAACAAATTAACCTCAACCAAATACGTATCGGGAGCACGGGTGACCAAGTCGTTTTAGGCACCGCGATTCGCTGTGCAGAGTTGCGTCCCTTGGGCACGCCAGAAACCCATGATTGTGGGTTCGAATCCCGGTTCGCCCCAATTATGTTTCTAGGTTTGTCAGCACCATACCCATGCTCATGGGTTTCACTGTCTGGTAAACGTCTGAGACCTGCATCACTTCGGGTTTTCCTCCCACATTAATCTGACACACCACGATATAACTGGGAAAAACGCCGTTAAACCTAACTCTCTCACTCACTGTTGCAGTATCCCTCAGGGTATATGTCGTTTAATTGTCATACTGCTACAACTTATATTATCTCAGCCTACATTAAAATACTGGCTTCTGATTGGTTAAGTGTTGCAATTTGGTGTTGCAATTATTTTCCATGTAGACCTCTCATGTAACCCGCTCATATAGCCCGCTGAGAAATCAATGGGAAGACACCTTGGGTAACTTGCTTATCTCGCATACCGGTAAGTATCATTTAGCTGAAATATACTGATGTTTATCCGAATGCATTGGGTAAAGGGAAGTAACTCAGTTCATTTGCATCTTCTGCTAATTGTCAAGATGGCTGAATCAATTGGTTGTCTCGGTGAAACTTTGGACATATATCATGTATATTCCGAGTCTGTATTGTCAACTGATCCCTCGGGGTATATGGTGTGATGTACCCTGTGTGTGAGCCTATGCACCTCTCGCCTGATGTGCGGCAACCAACCAACCAACCAACCAAACCAACCAACTGTATCTGATATAGTATGTTCTGTTTCCGTGTTTCAGATCAAGATGCTGGCAGACACGAGAGGCGAGTTCACGAGGGCCATGGGCATGCAGCTGGATTGTACCAAGCCTCTCGGGGGATGGCGGTCCAGGAGGTACAGTTGCCATGGTTACACAGTGTATTGGCATCGTACCACTGTAGGTGGTACAAGTAGTAATGTTGAAGTATATCAGTGATACTGCTGTTGCCTGAAGTAGTCTAAGTGGCCCCACTGTTGTAAGTTGTATTAGGCTGAAAAAAATAATAGTCTTGGTTCTCAGGCACCGCCAGCATCGTCATAAAATCTGCCCCACGTTTTGTTTTATTTCCATTTAATATTTTTTTATAAAAATCCTAATACCTATAAACAACGCGATCCAATATAGAACACAGTTACTTCCCTTTCCATGTGCACTGCTTTACTGCACATCTCGTGTTATGGTCATGGTGGCAATAGTGAGTGAGTGAGTGAGTTTGGTTTTACGCTGCTTTTAGCAATATTCCAGCAATATCACGGCGGGGGACACCAGAAATGGGCTTCACACATTTTACCCATGTCGGGAATCGAACCCGGGTCTTCGGCGTGACGAGCAACGCTTTACCCACTAGGCTACCCGACCGCCCCTGGTGGCAATAGGAGTTTGTATGCTTGTTTATGTAGGGAGGCCCTTTCCCAGGTTGATGGTACACAACTGTTTATTTGGTTACATACTGGTTTGAACAAGCAAAAAAAAAAGAAAACCACTAACTGCCGCTCTATATTTACAAAAGTTATTGCCTGAGAACCAATTCTTTTATCTTTTAAAGCCTTATGAATGCGTTTGTTTGTCGTTTAACGCTGCACTCAGCAATATTCCACCTATATGACGCTTGCCTGAAAATAATGGCTCTGTGTCAGACAATCCAGTGCTTTATCATGACTGGTATAGGTGTTGCAGGTATTCTTTTGTGGTAGAGGACAGAGTGATACAGCTGTAGTTTGGTGTTGCAGGTATTCTATAGTGGTAGAGGACAGTGTGATACAGCTGTAGTTTGGTGTTGCAGGTATTCTATAGTGGTAGAGGACAGTGTGATACAGCTGTAGTTTGGTGTTGCAGGTATTCTATAGTGGTAGAGGACAGTGTGATACAGCTGTAGTTTGGTGTTGCAGGTGTTCTATAGTGGTAGAGGACAGTGTGATAGAGCTGTAGTTTGGTGTTGCAGGTATTCTATAGTGGTAGAGGACAGTGTGATACAGCTGTAGTTTGGTGTTGCAGGTATTATTTTGTGGTAGAGGACAGTGTGATACAGCTGTAGTTTGGTGTTGCAGGTATTCTATAGTGGTGGAGGACAGTGTGATACAGCTGTAGTTTGGTGTTGCAGGTATTCTATAGTGGTAGAGGACAGTGTGATACAGCTGTAGTTTGGTGTTGCAGGTATTCTATAGTGGTAGAGGACAGTGTGATACAGCTGTAGTTTGGTGTTGCAGGTATTCTACAGTGGTAGAGCGTGATACAGCTGTAGTTTGGTGTTGCAGGTATTCTACAGTGGTAGAGCGTGATACAGCTGTAGTTTGGTGTTGCAGGTATTCTATAGTGGTGGAGGACAGTGTGATACAGCTGTAGTTTGGTGTTGCAGGTATTCTGTAGTGGTAGAGGACAGTGTGATACAGCTGTAGTTTGATGTTGCAGGTATTCTATAGGGGTAGAGGACAGTGTGATACAGCTGTAGTTTGATGTTGAAGGTATCCTATAGTGGTGGAGGACAGTGTGATACAGCTGTAGTTTGATGTTGCAGGTATTCTATAGTGGTGGAGGACAGTGTGATACAGCTGTAGTTTGGTGTTGCAGGTATTCTATAGTGGTAGAGGACAGTGTGATACAGCTGTAGTTTGGTGTTGCAGGTATTCTATAGTGGTGGACAGTGTGATACAGCTGTAGTTTGGTGTTGCAGGTATTCTATAGTGGTAGAGGACAGTGTGATACAGCTGTAGTTTGGTGTTGCAGGTATTCTATAGTGGTAGAGGACAGTGTGATACAGCTGTAGTTTGGTGTTGCAGGTATTCTATAGTGGTAGAGGACAGTGTGATACAGCTGTAGTTTGGTGTTGCAGGTATTCTATAGTGGTAGAGGACAGTGTGATACAGCTGTAGTTTGGTGTTGCAGGTATTCTATAGTGGTAGAGCGTGATACAGCTGTAGTTTGGTGTTGCAGGTATTCTATAGTGGTAGAGGACAGTGTGATACAGCTGTAGTTTGGTGTTGCAGGTATTCTATAGTGGTAGAGGACAGTGTGATACAGCTGTAGTTTGGTGTTGCAGGTATTCTATAGTGGTGGAGGAGAGTGTGATACAGCTGTAGTTTGGTGTTGCAGGTATTCTATAGTGGTAGAGGACAGTGTGATACAGCTGTAGTTTGGTGTTGCAGGTATTCTATAGTGGTAGAGGACAGTGTGATACAGCTGTAGTTTGGTGTTGCAGGTATTCTATAGTGGTAGAGGACAGTGTGATACAGCTGTAGTTTGGTGTTGCAGGTATTCTATAGTGGTAGAGCGTGATACAGCTGTAGTTTGGTGTTGCAGGTATTCTATAGTGGTAGAGCGTGATACAGCTGTAGTTTGGTGTTGCAGGTATTCTATAGTGGTGGAGGACAGTGTGATACAGCTGTAGTTTGGTGTTGCAGGTATTCTATAGTGGTGGAGGACAGTGTGATACAGCTGTAGTTTGGTGTTGCAGGTATTCTATAGTGGTAGAGGACAGTGTGATACAGCTGTAGTTTGGTGTTGCAGGTATTCTATAGTGGTAGAGGACAGTGTGATACAGCTGTAGTTTGGTGTTGCAGGTATTATTTTGTGGTAGAGGACAGTGTGATACAGCTGTAGTTTGGTGTTGCAGGTATTCTATAGTGGTGGAGGACAGTGTGATACAGCTGTAGTTTGGTGTTGCAGGTATTCTATAGTGGTAGAGGACAGTGTGATACAGCTGTAGTTTGGTGTTGCAGGTATTCTACAGTGGTAGAGCGTGATACAGCTGTAGTTTGGTGTTGCAGGTATTCTACAGTGGTAGAGCGTGATACAGCTGTAGTTTGGTGTTGCAGGTATTCTATAGTGGTGGAGGACAGTGTGATACAGCTGTAGTTTGGTGTTGCAGGTATTCTATAGTGGTAGAGGACAGTGTGATACAGCTGTAGTTTGATGTTGCAGGTATTCTATAGGGGTAGAGGACAGTGTGATACAGCTGTAGTTTGATGTTGAAGGTATCCTATAGTGGTGGAGGACAGTGTGATACAGCTGTAGTTTGATGTTGCAGGTATTCTATAGTGGTGGAGGACAGTGTGATACAGCTGTAGTTTGGTGTTGCAGGTATTCTATAGTGGTAGAGGACAGTGTGATACAGCTGTAGTTTGGTGTTGCAGGTATTCTATAGTGGTGGACAGTGTGATACAGCTGTAGTTTGGTGTTGCAGGTATTCTATAGTGGTAGAGGACAGTGTGATACAGCTGTAGTTTGGTGTTGCAGGTATTCTATAGTGGTAGAGGACAGTGTGATACAGCTGTAGTTTGGTGTTGCAGGTATTCTATAGTGGTAGAGGACAGTGTGATACAGCTGTAGTTTGGTGTTGCAGGTATTCTATAGTGGTAGAGGACAGTGTGATACAGCTGTAGTTTGGTGTTGCAGGTATTCTATAGTGGTAGAGCGTGATACAGCTGTAGTTTGGTGTTGCAGGTATTCTATAGTGGTAGAGGACAGTGTGATACAGCTGTAGTTTGGTGTTGCAGGTATTCTATAGTGGTAGAGGACAGTGTGATACAGCTGTAGTTTGGTGTTGCAGGTATTCTATAGTGGTGGAGGAGAGTGTGATACAGCTGTAGTTTGGTGTTGCAGGTATTCTATAGTGGTAGAGGACAGTGTGATACAGCTGTAGTTTGGTGTTGCAGGTATTCTATAGTGGTAGAGGACAGTGTGATACAGCTGTAGTTTGGTGTTGCAGGTATTCTATAGTGGTAGAGGACAGTGTGATACAGCTGTAGTTTGGTGTTGCAGGTATTCTATAGTGGTAGAGCGTGATACAGCTGTAGTTTGGTGTTGCAGGTATTCTATAGTGGTAGAGCGTGATACAGCTGTAGTTTGGTGTTGCAGGTATTCTATAGTGGTGGAGGACAGTGTGATACAGCTGTAGTTTGGTGTTGCAGGTATTCTATAGTGGTGGAGGACAGTGTGATACAGCTGTAGTTTGGTGTTGCAGGTATTCTATAGTGGTAGAGGACAGTGTGATACAGCTGTAGTTTGATGTTGCAGGTATTCTATAGTGGTGGAGGACAGTGTGATACAGCTTTAGTTTTGTGTTGCAGGTATTCTATAGTGGTAGAGGACAGTGTGATACAGCTATAGTTTGGTGTGTCAGGTATTCTATAGTGGTGGAGGGCAGTGTGATACAGCTGTAGTTTGGTGTTGCAGGTATTCTATAGTGGTGGACAGTGTGATAGAGCTGTAGTTTGGTGTTGCAGGTATCCTATAGTGGTAGAGGACAGTGTGATACAGCTATAGTTTGGTGTGTCAGGTATTCTATAGTGGTGGAGGGCAGTGTGATACAGCTGTAGTTTGGTGTTGCAGGTATTCTATAGTGATGGAGGACAGAGTGATACAGCTGTAGTTTGATGTTGCAGGTATTCTATAGTGGTAGAGGACAGAGTTATACAGCTGTAGTTTGGTGTTGCAGGTATTCTATAGTGGTAGAGGACAGTGTGATACAGCTGTAGTTTGGTGTTGCAGGTATTCTATAGTGGTGGAGGACAGTGTGATACAGCTGTAGTTTGGTGTTGCAGGTATTCTATAGTGGTGGAGGACAGTGTGATACAGCTGTAGTTTGGTGTTGCAGGTATTCTATAGTGGCGGAGGACAGTGTGATACAGCTGTAGTTTGGTGTTGCAGGTATTCTATAGTGGTGGAGGACAGTGTGATACAGCTGTAGTTTGGTGTTGCAGGTATTCTATAGTGGTAGAGGACAGTGTGATACAGCAGATCAATGAGGACCCGGACCACACCGGCCTGGTATGTCTGCTGTGTATAAAGAACATGAAGAGCCGGGCACAGGCACCACCTTGACGATACGACCCGTCTTCGTGTCTCGTTGTTCTGTCCGTCTTCAACCTCGTATATACGATCATCTGATTTGTATTATAAATTGTTTACTTTAATCAAGGCAGTATCTCCGTCCCCACAAAAAAGAGGGTTCTCAGATGATGGTTTGTTTTGATGAGGACTAGGGATCTGTGCAATCTGCAGTTAGATTTTGTAGGACCAGGTCGACTGGCAGTCTGGCTTGCATCAGCAGCCATGTCCCAAAGTACCCAAACCGTTATCGAGGATACCGTGTCATATTCTGTTATCACACCTTGGACCCATTTGCTACCACAGCTTTGTTTTCAGTCTGATTTGAAAGGCACAGTTAGTGAGTGAGTATGGTTTTACACGCTTTTAGCAATATTCCAGCAATATCATAACGGGGGATACCAGAAATGGGCTAGACACATTGTACCCATGTCGGGAATCGAACCCGGATCTTCGGCGTGATGAGCGAAGGCTTTAACCACTAGGCTACCCGACCGCCTTTTTGAAAGGCGCAGGACTAACAATGAATGTCCTATAAAATTAGACCCATGATCAGTAGAAATGTTATGATAATTTACAAATGGAAGAGGTTGTGATGGTAATGAAATAAAGCAGGCAAATGGGCCCAGGTTGGAATGAAAATAGGATACACTTGAGAACTTGGGATTTTCACAAATAACTTCTCTTCTTTTCTGTACTAAAACATCAGTCTTTTTTCTTGAAAGTGAAAAGATCAAATTTTACTATTCCAATATCACCATAAAAGTATCAAAGACCAGAACAAGTGTTATTGAATTCACTAGCGGGCTGCTGTTGTCAAAACTAAATGTCAACCACAGGCCAAAATATATTTTCCCGAGCAAAAGAGTTTGTATGCTGGATGTTCTAGTGATGCTGGGAGCAGGATGAGGAGTCACCTGGTGTATCTTTCTATGGGAGTGGGCATCGTATGCTATATACTACCCAACTTTTGATAAGGGTATTCTGAGGGTCCAATTTAGGACTGAACAAGACCGATTGTTTGTAAATGTTTTCATACAAATATCTGATATTGCAGAGGAACTGAATCAAGTTAATTAACAAAAGTACATGATTCGTATTTTGTCCACTAGTTTTTTAACTCAATGAAAAATTCCAGTACCCCTAGTAATTGTTCAGAATCTCATTAACCCCAGAGGACTAGGGTCCTTCTACACACCAACCTCAGTGCTGTGATGATTGTATCTCACAATTCTGTACATACTCCAGAACGTTGTCTTGCTGAGATTGTTTTATTGGAACAGAGACAGACGTTGGCACTTGTCACTCCGACATTTCGTCTGATGGGTAAGTGCCAGTCCATGGCCAATCTCATTAAAATCAGATCTAAGTTCTCGCTGCCGCTAAACAAAGATCTGAGGACATTCCATTACGGGTCACGTCAAAACAAGCGGTAATGAAAATCTAATAATTTATTTATTATGGCCTAAAGATAGATGTAGAAATAATTTGTGTGGCTGAAAGCTGATCTCATCTGTGGAGATGGTTACATTTCACGAGTGAGTGAGTAGTGGTTTTACGCCGCTTTTGGCAATATTCCAGCAATATCTTGGCGGGGGGCCGGGGGGGGGGGGGACACCAGAAATGGGCTTCACACATTGTACCCATGTCGGGAATCGAACCCGGGTCGAGCGAACAGTGTAACCCCAAGGCGATCCGACCGCCCGAAATTTGTTTTGAAATATCGGGGCTGATCTGCGTGCACCCAATATTATGTTTCACATTAGATGACTTCAGCCAGTGCCTCATGTTCAGGAATACTTCTCCTTGAAGTCTGTACTGTCCGACATAGGACAGAAGTACTGTTTTCTTGTGTATTATACACACCACCCACACTGGTAGTATGTTTCTGGTTTCTGGTATGTTAACTGCTGTATTTTTGGGGGAAAGGGTATGCACTGTACACAAGAAAATAAAGTATTTGAAAATTTTGGAGCTCTTCTGAATTCTTTTAATTTTTGATGGTTAATTAAAATTTTTTCGGGTTTCAGGATAGGGCTGCCCAAAATGTTGTAGAAAGAAATTACCGTAATCGACGTAATAAGTGCCCCGCTCTAATAAGCGCCCACAGCAATATTTGCTAATATATTGGCTAGTGAACAATCCCAATTAGCACCCCTTCCGATTGATCAGTGTACACAAGACTTATTTATTTGTGTATAATACGCACGCGTGTGTTATATGCATCCTTAATTATGGGCAATTAAAATCTGGAAAATATATCTGTCGTACATAAACATTTCAGGCTGTCAGCATAAACCACGAAATTTACAATCTTTCAACTCAAATTAATATTCTAATAAAAGCACCCTATTTCTAATTTTGAGAGCGTGTTTATTACGTCGAATACGGTATTAGAAAGGCAATGTTTGATCAGAATGTTTGAATTTTTGTATTAGCCTTTATTTCCAGCCCTGATTTTTTTTAAATTATTTGCATCGAAGAATATTGACTTGGAATTTTTGTAAACAGTTACGGTTGGCTTCATAAGGATAACTTGTCTGTACAGGGTACGGATTTGTTTGCCATGTTTTGTATATTAAACCAGAAATGCTTTGTTGTACACTCTGTGTGTCATTTGTGACCAACTCGTGTTATTCCGGGACAAGCCGAATAGCGACTCGTGCCCCTCTCGTGGCCATTTTTGTGACCGGGTTCCGTCTTAGCGCAAAGGGGCATACCTAAAATAATTGTCAACTCGTCGCGTTATGGTTCACATATATTTCCCCATATATTATATACATTTCAGATGCAATTTAAAGCACATCGGGACATGCAGAATTATACATTTAACTGTGCCTTGGGTATATTTTTAGATGCAAGACATACGTAAAATCAAAACTTATTTCTGAGGGATTCTTTGACGAGGAACTTGAAATCATACGCGCATTCTGATTGGTTTGTCGTATTTTCGCACATAACATTCATCGATAGGGGGACGAGTCTTCTTACAGGTTACGGAAAGGTGCGAGTGGTGACGACTGTCAATGTGTTTGTGGAGTCCATTGATGAAGATGATGCTTTCAATATGTCGAACAAACAAGCAAATATTTCAGGGAATATATTTTGAATTTACATTTACATTTTTCAGAATTTGATAAAACAGATTTCAGATGAAAGAAAGCTTGATTGGTACCTGCTACCTAAATACTGATCATGTTAAATTAGAGAATGCAGTTCATTGAGTTAAAAGGAGTTGATCTGGTTCTGGTGTTAATGTTACAAGGTACATGTATGTAATAATGAACATTTTTGGATAATGGTGAAAGTGTAAATAAACGTTTATTATCTTGACTCTGACTTTCATCATTTTGTATGTAGACCTGTCTTGATTTGAGTGAGTGAGTGAGTTGGGTTAACGCCGCTTTTAACAGTATTCCAGTTATATCACAGCGTGTCAGCTTAATGTGGAAGGAAAGCCCGAAGTGATTCAGGTCTCAGACGTTTACCACTTCAGTGAAACCTACGAGCACGGGTATGGTGCTGACAAACCTCGAAACATAATCGGGGCGAACCGGGATTCGAACCCACAATCATAGGTTTCTGGCGTGCCCAAGGGATGCAACTCTGCACAGCGAATCGCGGCGCCTTAGACGACTGGGCCACCCGTGCCCCGTCTTGATTTGAAGTGAAGTCTTGAAAGTTGGTTCTCGTGATGTATGTGACCCGTGAAGATCCGGGATAGAATAGGTCTTCAGCAACCCATGCTTGCTGTAAAAGGTGACTATGCTTGTCGTAAGAGGCGACTTATGGGGTCGGGTGGTCAGGCTCGCTGACTTGGTTGATGCATGTCATCGATCCCAATTGCGTGGATCGATGCTCATGATATTAATCACTGGATTGTCTGGTCCAGACTTGATTATTTACAGACCGCTGTCATATAGCTGGAATATTGCCGAGTGCGGCGTTAAACAACAAACCAACCAACCATGTCAGTGTGGTGAAACCTCTCTGGGGTAAATACCCAGAATGCTAGTTGTATGAGGCGACTAAATGGATTGGACTGTCAGGCTCTGACTTTGTTGATTGTAGGTCATAGGTCATCGTACCCCGACACTGTTTACAATATCAAATACTAGTTTGTCTGGTCCAGACTTGGTGCAGCGTTAAACAAATAAAGAATAGAGCTCTGAAGCCCTGAATTATGAAGAATTCTACCATGACAAGTGCTCGGTTCCAAACTAAACGTAAGGGGTATCTATTCTACAGTGACCCCAGTATGTTTATATGTTTGTTTGTTTGTTTGTTGTTTAACGCTGCACTCAGCAATATTCCAGCTATATGACAGCGGTCTGTAAATAATCGAGTCTGGACCAGACAATCCAGTGATTAATATCATTAGCATCGATCTGCGCAATTGGGATCAATGACATGCATCAACCGAGTCAGCGAGCCTGACCACCCGATCCCGTTAGTCACCTTTTATGACAAGCAAAGTCGCCTTTTACGGCAAGCATGGGTTGCTGAAGACCTATTCAACCCCGGAACCTTCACGTGTCGTATGTTTATATGATGGCGGTCTGTAAATAATAGAGTCTGGACCAGACAATCCCGTGTTTGACATCATGATCCACGCATTTGGGATGCAATGATATGCATGCACCAAGTCACCTCTAACAACAAGCATCGTCACCTTTTATGGCAAGTATGGGTTGCTGAAGACCTATTCTAACTCGGATCTTCCCGGGTCGGCAGCAATTGGATAAAAATTATATTGGATTTCTGTGAGCAGCCTTTAGATATTTCTAAAGCTGGGATCATTCATACAAAGTTTCAGGTCAATTGGCCTTGTAGTTTTAGAGATCAAGTGAGTGAGTGAGTGAGTTTGGTTTAACGTCGTTTTTAACAGTATTCCTGTTATATCACGGCGTGTCAGCTTAATGTGGGAGGAAAGCCCGAAGTGATGCAGGTCTCAGACGTTTACCACTTCGGTGAAACCCACCAGCACGGGTATGGTGCTGACAAACCTAGAAACATAATCGGGGCAAACCGGGATTTGAACCCACAATCATAGGTTTCTGGCGTGCCCAAGGGACGCAACTCTGCACGACGGGGGACACCAGAAATGGGCTTCACACATTGTACCCATGTCGAGAACTGAATCCAGGTTTTCGGTTTTTGACCGAACGCTTTAACCACTAGGCTACCCGACTGCCCCATAAAACTTTCCTATTCACATTTCTATCATCTGGTTACACACAACACAAGACGAACACCAGCGTATCTCCCATGATTTTATTAAAATATATTCTTTCAACAAAATACAGAAACAATGTTTCTTCATTGACAATGGTCACATGTTTAGCACTGATATATAATCACACATAACATGAACAACATGATGAGAATACAACCTTCCCAGAGCTCTACAACCACTGGGATATAAACACACTGCCACCATGCGCGGAGACCAAACGTCATCCTTAGTCACAGCTCAATACACCATCACTCCTGGCTCAATTTAAGCTCCTTGAACAAGGACCAAGCCAACTGGACAGTCTGAATCCAATTACAGTTTAATTACAATAACGGAATCGGATACTACTGAAAAGATGCTGAAGCACACCTGATTGTTCCATGTTACTAGAATTAATCTTTCATGGCATGGCCTATTAACTATGGAAACTCCACTCTGATGATAACTTTAGGAACACCGTCTTTTATACAAAGGGACATAACTCCTTTACGTGTAATGTACAAGGCATCTGTTTAAGCTGCTTTTCAAGTATAAATTTCAGTCTTTCATAGGCATTTAGATGAAAGAACAAGAAAGTATGAACTTTTTGGGATAACAACCCAAAGTTTACATTCCAACATCAATCAGTGGAAAATAGAGGAAACTATTGAAATCCAAGGAAAGAAGCTTGTCATTAAGTGAGTGAGTGAGTGAGTTTTACGCCGCTTTTAACAGTATTCCAGTTATATCACGGCGTGTCAGGTTAATGTGGGAGGAAAGCCTGAAGTGATGCAGGTCTCAGACATTTACCACTTCGGTGAAACCCACGAGCACGGGTATGGTGCTGACAAACCTCGAAACATAATCAGGGCGAACCGGGATTCGAACCCACAATCATAGGTTTCTGGCGTGCCCAAGGGCCGGAACTCTGCACAGCGAATCGCGGCGCCTTAGACGACTGGGCCACCCGTGCCCCACTTTTCATTAAGAGAAACCAGGGCATCTGCCAAGTATGAAATTCACTTTCATCCTAAACTACCCGCAATAAACATTTTGATTGTCTCATTGTTACCCAAGTTCTTCCACTTCTCTCCTGTTTTCTCCATTTTGACCTACCCACCTGAGTTTTTAACCCAAAATCTGTAACCACTCCCCCGACTCCTTCAAAGTCGGGTCATATTGAGTTATGTACCTTTGTATAGATGAAGATGTTCAGAGTGGGATTTCATAAAGGTCTCAAAGTCATGAAACAGGACATACCGTATTCGACGTAATAAGCGCCTCGCTCTAATAAGCGCCCACTGCGATATTTGCTAATATATTGGCTAGTGAACAATCCCAATTAGCACCCTTCCGATTGATCAATGTACACAAGACTTTTTTATTCGCGTATAATACGCACTCGTGTGTTATATGCACCCTTAATTATGGGCAATTAAATTCTGGGAAAATATATGTCGTATATAAACATTTCAGGCTGTCAGCATAAACCACGAAATTTATCTTTCAACTCATCAAAATAATATTCTAATAAGAGCCCCTTATTTCTAATTTTGAGAGGGCCCTGGGCGCTTATTACGTTGAATACGGTATTTATCGAAGTTCATTACCTACAGCAATCTAAAACTAGTAAGGTGTGTCATGTCATCGCCGAGCATATTTACACTGTACAAAGAAACCGGACACACCGATGCTGGATATATATCACAAGAAATGATACAAAGAAATAGATCATGCTTCAAACCACCTTAGTAAGAAACAACAAAGTCGTGTGACGAAGTGTTATCAGAAACATCATGTTCCCAAGAAGGTCCTGTAGCACCACCACCAGTATCATCATAGTGTTGCATCTCACTGACGCATGCCACCATCAGCAGCCGACGCAAGGGCCATCATAACAGGCATCGTAACCACATTAGTGTTCAGCAAAGCCAGAGTGAGTGAGTGAGTTGGGTTTAACGCCGCTTTTAACAGTATTCCAGTCATATCACGGCGTGTCAGCTTAATGTGGGAGGAAAGCCTGAAGTGATGCAGGTCTTTGACATTTACCACTTCGGTGAAATTCACGAGCACGGGTATGGTGCTGACAAACCTAGAAACATAATCGGGGCGAACTGGGATTCGAACCCACAATCATAGGTTTCTGGCGTGCCCAAGGGACGCAACTCTTCACAGCAAATCGCGGCACCTTAAACGACTGCCCACCCTTGTCGCTCAACAAAGCCAGAGGCTGTAGGGGGTGCTATTGGATACTTGAGAATTGAGGGGTTACTTTCCAAAATTAATCCCTTTCCTTAAAAGTTAACAGAAATAATCGGGATCTCAGTACTTCTGATAAGAATGGATGCCAGAAAGCATGTTTTTGTTACCAGTGTTATAAACAGTATTTAGGGGAGAGCCCTTCGGACATTTTCAGTTATTCATCTGCTGCCAACCAGGAGTAATGTAGGCATGACGAAGGTTTCATAATGACCCTATTCTTTTATGTTAAAAGTCTTAAAAATGGACTGAAAAAATTGGTCCATACATGAGTTAGCTGTGATACTAAAATTGCTCTATTCTATCACACAGTGTATCTAATAAGAGCTTTTCACATAAACAACCCTGAAATAAGACTAAATAAGAGAATCAACAGTCCTGGGACCCAAACAGTGATCTTAGCGCTAAGACAATCATAACTCCCCTACTCTACAGACCATGACTGTCGTAGTCCTACAATCACGTTGAGGAATGGAACCTCAAACCACATTCCACTGGATCTTAGCACTAGGACAGTCACAAGTCAATTTGAAAGTGCGGGGATTACAACCGTCTTAGTACTAAGATCACTTTGTGTTGGCGACGGGCCCACTGCACATGCTGCACTGGATCTTAGCACTAAGACAGTCACAAGTCAATGTGAAAGTACGGGAGTCACAACCGTGCTAAGATCAGTTTGTGTTGGTCCAGTCCCTAATAAACAGTATCACATATATGCTATTACCATGGGTACAAGGGGATGTACCGGTACCCATCAACACCCATGCCTTGCCTCGTCCGCCCACAGCGTGGCTTAACGAGGACTCCATACAATCATGCACACAACATCCCAAAGAAATTTGGTCCAGATTGAGACAAATTATGGTTATGTAAAGTGAGACCATCTTTCCCACGATAGTACAGGCAAAACCATCCACAGTTTGAGGACCCCGTCACTCACGGATGCATCGCCTCCCGACGTCGCCCCCGACTCACAGCTCATCTCTGTCGCCACAAAAAGAAATACAGTTAGTACATCACAACACACAACTTGCAAAACAAATCAGGAAATTTATTTTGAGATTTCAAATACCCAAAACTTTTCATACTGCGCACTGTATTTACTTTTGGTACTGAAAGTCCTTATGTGGACTCGTCATAAAAAAACAGCTTCATTAGCAAAGATGTCAATAATCATAACAGTGAATGTTTAATCAGTTTGCATAGGCCACAAAAAAGGTTTTTCATCAGCATACTTACAAAACACTCTCATTAAAATCAGATCTTAGTTCTTGCTGCTGCTAAACAAAAATCTGAGGACATCCCATTACGGGTCACAACAGACCGACCTTGCGTGAACTTTGGCCTACCAATGGAATGACTGACAAGAAGTCTACATTAGCCAATCAGAAGGCAGCTTTCTCGTGCTTGACGGAGCTATTTTCAAATTGGCGACTGCGCTTCGAAACATATTTTGAAAATTCTTGATAAAAATTTGAAACCTGAACAAAAGAACATTCTGGAATCGCTAATAGATGGTCTAGATTGTGTGGATTCAGTTGTTAAGACCGTAACTATCGTTCGGAATACCTGTGTAAAAGTTTTCGAGGTTGCATGATTAGAAATCAAATTCCGACTGTCACTTTCATGATCTGGTAAGCAATGCTCTGATTGGTCAGATGAAAGGTCGTTCTGACGTAACCCTAATGGGATGTCCTCAGATGTTTGTTTAGCGGTTGCGAGGACTAAGATCTGATGTTAACGAGTTTGACTTACAAAATGACTTTTTTTCACATACTACTCAAAAGATTCTTTCATATTACTAATAGCATGTCGCATGACAGATTAACTATAGTAATATGAAATAATTGGGGTGACTATTATTGAACAGAACTATAACTACAAATGTTGAACCATCTTAATCCTTCGAATGTTTGAAATGATTAGCACGGTGATGAGAAACTTTTCCTGGCTCGACAAGAAAACAATAACAAGTACCTTATACTTATTTCTTGTTTACATGAAACTCATCGATTATTTGCGATATGGTTTTTTTTAAGAAAATCAGAAAAAAGATACAGTGCAAGGTGCTTGGTAGATTATCATGATTATGCATGTTAAACGCAAGCAAGAAAAGAAGTCGCTTTACCAACAGATTCCTATCCGATCAAAATACAGCTCAAATTAGAATTTCAGTAAAGAAACAAGAAAACTGTTTTCATTCACATAATTTCTTGCAAATAGTAACAGTAGCTTTGGGATTTGAAACAAAAATAACGTTTCTGATCACAATAACGGGGCATTTGATATCTCGGTCTCCACATCAACACCGGCTGAAAGAAACGAAACCATGCTTTTCACAACATTCAACATGCCTTGCCAACAGTGCTGGAAACCATATCTATGTACAGCTCCGCTTTTACTCTCCGACATCTACCGGACGTGGTTGCTAATCATACTAATACCTCCAAATCCCTCTAGACGAAATGTTCTTGTACAGACCGATCTTAATTTTCATCGCCATCACCCCCCGTCTGAGTGCTCATCAAAGAGTTTTGTGAAGAGTTTAAACTCCATTTCTGAAACGATTTAGCTCTTAAACTATTTGAAAATGTATTGAATCATGTGTTTAACCTTGAAAACTTTGCATATTTCTGAATGTGACCTCTGACTTAGGCTAACATATAGCCTCAGAAATAAAGTTATCTTATTTAAAAATATATACCTACAAAATATAATATCAAATCCAAATGGAGCCCGGAATAATGCTTAATCTAGACTTGCCAAATCATTCTAGACTTGAGTTGGATTCCTTTTTATTTATTCTCTAGGGTGAGTGAGTGAGATGGGTTTAATGCCGCTTTTAACAGTATTCCAGTTATATCACAGCATGTCAGCTTAATGTGGGAGGAAAGCCCGAAGTGATGCAGGTCTTTGACGATTACCACTTCGGTGAAACCCACGAGCACGGGTATGATGCTGACAAACCTTGAAACATAATCGGGGTGAACCGGGATTGGAACCCACAATCATAGGTTTCTGGCGTGCCCAAGGGACGCAACTCAGCACAGTAAATCGCGGCGCCTTAGACAACTGGGCCTCCTGTGGCCCCCTATTCCCTAGGGTCTGGGAGACGGACTACATGACCTTGTGAAGGGTGACAAGATCTGCATCAGCCTCTGTAACAATGTTACAGGAGGGGGATTCATAGCAGCGCTAGCGGCCTGTAGATGTCGGACAGTCAAAGCAGAGACGCCTTGCATCCCCGACATCATTGACGAGGACAACAACACGCACAACATGCCATCACAGTCACATGCTGGAACACTCTACAGGCTCAAAATACCAACAAAATATGTGTGGGATTTCTCTAACTTTTGATATGTCAACAGGTTCATAAACAGCCATACTCTGCAGACTCAATTCTTAGCTTTCGCTTGGGAAGGATTTCAAGGGAAGTATGTCCATACGCCGTTAAGTGATTTTGGTGTTACTCTGGGTTTGGCAGTGTTCACACATCATGGCACTGGGCCGCCATGAATGGACTTCATGGTAGATCATGTTGGGACTCGAACCCAGACCTTCTTAGTGATGAGTGACCACTTTAACCACTTGGCTACCCTAATACCTACTTTATAGACCTGTCTTTGTATAGATTTAACAGCTGAAACTAAACCTACAGCTTTTACAGCTTCTCTACATAACATTTACCCTAACTTCAGTGAGTGAGTGAGTGAGTTGGGTTTAACGCCGCTTTTAACAGTATTCCAGTTATATCGCGGCCTGTCAGCTTAATGTAGGAGGAAAGCCCGAAGTGATGCAGGTCTCAGACGTTTATCAGTTCGGTGAAACCCACGAGCATGGGTTTGGTGCTGACAAACCTAGAAACATAATCGGGGCGAACCGGGATTCGAACCCACAATCATGGGTTTCTGGCGTGCCCAAGGGACACAACTCTGTACAGCGATCGCGGCGCCTTAGACGACTGGGCCCCCCGTGCCACCCCCCCACCCCCCCTAACTTCAAGTTGAAGGTAAACATGGCTATATAATTACACTGAGTTTACCAACCTTAGACCAGGCTACCATCAAATTTATGTTTTTCACATTAACTGATCTGATGATGGTGAATCTGTTGGTAACCATGGCAGCAGTTTCAGTTTTAGAAATGAGAACAGCAAAGCTAATTATTGAAGGCTGTGAAGGGTATTTATAATGGAATATGCTTGGATATTTGGCAAAATGGTAATGCCAGCTAAACAGAGGTATAGGAAAGGTGTGTTAGGATTAAAACTAAACTGAAAAAATCTCAGAAACAGAAATTTTGGTTTAGGCCAGTAAAATATTAGTCTTGTTTCTCATGATATTTTTCAAAACTGATCTAATTGGGAGAAAGCAATATTTGTTTTAGTAGTTTATAAATCAAGGGCCATAATTATGTTAATTGTTAACTTTTTTTATGATGCTTTTCAAAATCGACCAACATACTTATCCCTTACTGATGTAAACAAAATATCATCCTTGTATTCATAGCAGTTCCTGAAGTAACATGTACCTACTGAAGTCGGATGGACAAACGGAGCCCAAATGGAGCCTAAACCTGTTAACTTGATAAATAAACTTGATTCCCTGAGACTCTGACATACTATGTAAGGTAAGAGCTAAACACTTTGGAATCTGGCACAAAAATGGAAAAGTTATTTCTTAACACTGCTTTAAATTTAAAAATAATAATGTTCGGGTCATGTGGGTCATGAGAAACAAGAAATATATTATTAACAAGCCGTATTGTAATCAATATTTTACTTGAATGCTATTTTGAAAATACTACTAAGATACTACTTGAAAAAATAAAATGTTAAGAAAAAGAAAAAAGATACTTCTAAATCATGTTGATATATCATACAGTTTGGGGGATACCAAACCCAGTTTGTTCAGAATAATTTGAAACTTTCACAACACCAAAGGGAGACAATCAGTCAAGGCATGGGAACAACAACAAAGATGGTGGACCACCCAAAAAGGAGTTTTACAGCCACCGACCACACATCAGACCTACCTTGCTCGACAGGATTAACATAAACAGGTCACCAATAAATCTCCCCAGCCTCAGTCTACCCAAGATGCACTATTGGTCATGTGTCATATACACAACTCACAGAACATGGTGTGAAACTTGCCAGTTGCAAATTATCCAGTGCATGCATTATTTCATCAACAACCACAATGCATGGAAAGAAAAGATAATTCCTCACACTTGAACAAGGAGAGCTAGGAGATTTTCATAGGACTCTGCACTTATTCCAAAGCCCCAAAATCTCAGCACACAATGTTTTTTACATAAGGCCACAATATATTATACTATCAGATTTTTGTCCACCCATCGCACCACCAAACACCAAGCTTCACGCCAAGCCTCACCCAAATACATTGTCCCAAAGAACCTACAGACCATGTAAAAATCTCTGTCTTTAACCCCTTCTTGACTTGATAGATATCATACCGTATTCGACGTAATAAGCGCCCAGGGCGCTCTCAAAATTAGAAATAGGGGGCTCTTATTAGAATATTATTTTGGTGGAAAAAACAGAGTTGAAAGATAAATTTTGTGGTTTATGCTGATGGTTTGAACTGTTTATATACAACAGATATATTTTTCCAGAATTTAATTTCCCATAATTAAGGGTGCATATAACACACGAGTGCGTATGATACACGAATGAATAAGTCTTGTATACATTGATCAATCGGAAGGGGTGCTAATTGGGATTGTTCACGTGCCAATATATTAGTAAATATCGCCGTGGGCGCTTATTAGAGCGGGGCGCTTATTACGTCGAATACGGTACATGTTTTCCCACAAAACAGCCATACTTCATGTGATTCATGACAGCAGTTTATACACATAGATGTTTCAAACAGTTTGTTTTGACAAAAATAACGGAATAAAATGCTTCCCCTAACTTTTCCTAAATATTTGAATGACATTTTAACTGATGTATTGTCGCCCCAACAGCCGACATATTGGTGTATTGTAACATTTAACTAGCTTGACCACTACCACAAAACCTTGACTTCAACCTACAGTGGAAACAGCTATTTCCAAACAATAATCTTGATCGCTGTATGTCAACAATACATTCTACGAACAAAGCATTGAGTCGCCCAAGTAAAATTCTTCAGGCTGAGTTTCTTCACAAGCGACCAATATACAGGCACAAATGTGCAGATTTACAAATATGCTGAAACAACGTCACACAGATAGGTTGTATTCAAAGAAAGTAGCACCTAATACCAAGTACTGAACCAAAGATTTGAATCTCTCTGTGAATCTAGGTCAGTAACAATCAACAGTCTGGTCGCCGACACTATAAATGCCCATAGTAAAACATGGTCGCCATTACCATAGGCCTACCATAGTGGAACCTGGTCGCCATAACCCAATCACCCTGCGAACTGGTCGCTATCATCAAAAGCATACCAAAAGCCATCCTGGCGCCATCACCATAGGTTTACCATAAGGCAACCTGGCGCCATCAACACCGGTCTACCATAGTGCAACCTGGCGCCATCACGCCATAACACAGCCAGGTTGTCAACACTTCATCCCAAAGTCATACAAACCTACACCTATATTTAACGCAACATGTGGACATCCAGAAAGAGGTTCTAACCTCATTACCATAGTGCAACCTGGCGCCATCACCAAAGGTCTACCATCATACAGCTTTGCTCAGCCACTATTAGCTGACCATAATACAGCCAGGTCATCAACACCTCATCCCAAAGTCATACAAACCTACACCTATATTTAACGCAACATGTGGACATCCAGAAAGAGGTTCTAACCTCATTACCATAGTGCAACCTGGCGCCATCACCAAAGGTCTACCATCATACAGCTTTGCTCAGCCACTATTAGCTGACAATAATACAGCCAGGTCGTCAACACCTCATCCCAAAGTCATATAAACCTACACCTATACTTAACGATCATCGCAACATGTGGACATCCAGAAAGAGGTTGTAACCTCATTACAAGTTCATATTGAATCAAGACATGTCATGTCCTACACCCAAGTCTTGAGGAAGATGGTTAACACAGACTCCAGGTGGACTCCCAGCCTGGATAGCCTGGCAGTCCCTGTATCATCATGCATTAGAAGTGTATGGAGTGTGTTAGTTGGGGAGTTGTGTTAGTTCAGTCATAGATGTCATCAAGATAGTCGACAACTTGTTGCCACCAACCGCCATTGGTCTGGGTATCAGCATCAGCATCTGACCAAGCATTGCTATTGTCTGGGTCCCTGAAAGAAACATGGCTGTTATATGAGACACATGACATACAGAGAGACATGACATACAGAGAGACATGACATACAGAGAGACAAAACAGACACCTAGCAAAAGAGGATATGTGTGTTGATTAACACAGAGGACAAGAGAGGCATGTTGATATGGAGGACATGCCTTGATATCAGGGCTGGGACAGGTCCAAATTGAATACCCGGGTACCCGATCCACTATTACCCGACCCGACCCACTTTAGGTCTCAAGTTTTACCAGTCGCAGACGTAACGTGTACGCATGACGGCTCTGCCGTCTCTTGTACGCGAGACGGGTGCGGTCCGCAGTACTCAGTGAAGCGCTTGATACTAATTAATTCAATCACCGTGGCTGTGCTGTCACCTGCGACCTCCGCGAAAGTTTACAGAAGTCCTGCCAGAAGCTGCTAACATACATGCATTAAACGATCTGATCATGCACAAGCTGAGTGAGTGAGTGAGTTGGGTTTAACACCGCTTTTAACAGTATTCCAGTTATATCACGGCGTGTCAGCTTAATGTGGGAGGAAAGCCCGAAGGATGCAGGTCTCAGACATTTACCACTTCGGTGAAACCCACGAGCACGGGTATGGTGCTGACAAACCTAGAAACATAATCGGGGCGAACCGGGATTTGAACCCACAATCATAGGTTTCTTGGGTGTCCAGGGGACGCAACTCTGCACAGCAAATAGCGACGCCTTAGACAACTGGGCCACCCATGCCCCCTGCACAAGCTGAAATTGACTGAAGCTTTATCTTTGCTCAAACATTAAAGTCAAAAGGAATGCGTGCATAGTCAGAAAGAAATGGGATCATATAGCGCCTTGTTGTGTAACCATGGAGTTTGACGGTGACCATCATTAAATAATATATCACATGACTAACCACGGGTCCGGTTGGTCCTGTGGGTACCCGGGTCATACTCTGGACCCACCCACCCAGCCCTAGTTGACATATGCAGAGACACTTTGCAATGGGGGACATAAAAGACGATATACACTGAGGACATGAGAGACATCTTGAAAAGGAGGACATTGCTATGATATACACTATATATTAGTGGTGGGATGATAGATACACTGATGCATCGGTGGGTCGTGATTTTTCACTTCTCAATACAAGTATCGATCACAGTCGCACACTAAGTAAAAAATATTGATTCTGACCTTAAAATGTTTGCTTTAATAGCTGTTCCACTAAACACTAATCAGTAGTGCAAGTTAATAGTGAAAACATAAATATTTTCATTTGTTGTGCTATATTTGACACTGCCAACTGTAAATCGTCAGTGTGCCAGGTATTTGGTCATCCTGTCTATGGAAAAGATAGCTTAAGCACCACAGATAAGAGCACAGGCAAGTATCATGATACATATTGGATAGTGAGTAAGGTATCGTGATAGCTTAAGCACCACAGATAAGAGCACAGGCAAGTATCATGATACATATCGGATAGTGAGTAAGGTATCGTGATAGCTTAAGCACTACAGATAAGAGCACAGGAAAGTATCGTGATACATATTCCATAGTGAGTAAGGTGTCGTGATACGTGATACGTGATAGCTTAAGCACCACAGATAAGAGCACAGGCAAGTATCATGATACATATCGGATCGTGAGAAAGGTAACGTGGTACGTATCAGATCTCACAGTTGGTGTACCTTCCCTGCCCTACTAAAGATATGAAAAGCTCTTTTCAATGGAGGACAAAATATAGCTATATATATATACACTGGAAGACATGGCAGGCACTATTCAATGGACCCAAGTGGTGGTGTACAAGGAGGACAGTGTTCATTCTGAGAATCACCTCCAGGAAATAGCACTTTGATGTACAGGTGGTCAGACCGGAAATTCAGAACACTTCTTTTGCTAGTTTTACCTTTGCAAACACTCAGTCCAACTACTCCCATCAGTACGGATTTCTTGACCTTTTGGTTATCATTCTAAAACTAGCCCTATAGAGTGAGTGAGTTGGGTTTAACGCCGCTTTTAACATTATTCCAGTTATATCACGGCGTGTCAGTTTAATGTGGGAGGAAAGCCCGAAGTGATGCAGGTCTCAGACGTTTACCACTTCGGTGAAACCCACGAGCACGGGCATGGTGCTGACAAACCTAGAAACAAAATCGGGGCGAAGTGGTATTCGAACCCACAATCATAGGTTTCTGGCGTGTCCAAGGGACGCAACTCTGCACAGGGAATCGCAGCGCCTTAGCCGACTGGGCCAAAATTGGGCTTGATGTGGCAAGGGTGGAAACAAGTGCCCCCCTAGCCCTATAGAGACCAGCATATATTATATACGCTACCAAACCCACAGCTATTCGGTAAGATTATCGGTTTTATCTGAAAGACTAGGGGATAATGAACCAAGGCTAATGCTATTTCAGATACTATTGAATATTTGTTCACGCCGCTTTTAGCAATATTCCTATTTAGTGCTCTACAGTAAATGCGTTTATTGAAATCCGCTCAACCATCTTCTTTACCATTTCCTGTTTATACTTTTCCCTTGTTTACACTATGACATCATTGTCCCGCCATCTACTTTCAGGTGATGTCACAACGTCTAACCCCGTAACTGGTGACGTCATCACTTGCTATCTTTTGCCTTTCCCTGCTCTTGGTTGCTGCGCTATCTATAGCTTTCACGGTTCAATTTTATTATCACTAAGATGCCTCCTAAACGCAGAGCATCTATCAATCATCGGCTGGTGAAAGGGGCTGCGAGGAGGGCAAAACAGCCGAGGACAAGGCAATCAGCGTTTACAACTGATCCAACGGATGAGTTATCTTGTTTTGCTAGTTCTTCACAATCGGTGCCCCAATCTACCGTAAGTGTTGATCTCGCATTATTGTTACCTAATTCGGTCAATTCTCCTCCAATTACCGCTCCGTCATCTGTTAACGATTTTACGGAGCATTTGCAAGCCATTTTACAACTTCTTCACAATGTTACCCAGGATTCTCAAACTCATACTAATCAATGACAAACTTCCAATTTCACTCCGCCAACCGCTACGGATGCCAATGAGACCCGACCTCAACCTGGCACATCCGATCACCATAATATGGCATTCCTTCCATCCGCCTCATCTTCGGTAGACCCCGTCTCGTACAGCGCAGAAACTATTGGCGCCCACGTTAAACAATCTCTACGCAAAAGGATCTGGAAAGGGAGTGCGTTGACCTGCAGCTACTCAGCCCATAGCTGTCGGAGAATAGCGACGAGGACGAAGGGACGTTCAGGTTGGTATCGGATCAGGTACAGTAATGTTTACACCTGCGCAGTCGCGGGGCAGCTCGGGTAAACTGCTGGGTCTAGGGGCTTGGACCACAGCCTTCCATGTGTATATGTCCATATATCTTGAAAAACATTGTTCACTCTCTGTTGTTCAGGGTATGTTATCTTATCTAGAATCTGTCCGTGGGGCCGCTCTCAAAATGGTGGCGAGGGATGGGTGACATATGACAGGCAATTCTGCCACAGAATGGCAAGGGACCCGACAAGGCAGTGGGGCCGGATCGATGGTGATCTGTGGTTACGACATATGTTGCCACACCAACAGCAACGGGCTTCAGCGCCGGTAAGGGTTACAAATCGTAGTAACAGTGCCTTTCCAAATAACGTATGCTGGGATTTCAACAAAGGTGCATGTAGCCGACCAGCCTGTAGGTATCTGCACAAGTGTGGGAAGTGTGGGAATACCACGCACGGGGCCACCGCTGGTATCTGCTTTCGAGGCACAGGGCCTAGGGAGCGTCAGGCCCAGTCTTCATCAAACAACTCCCATCCTGGAAGTACAGGTAACCAGCGTCAGAAGCCTAACGTCACTAGCACCATCTCCAGTCAAGCTAAGTAATTTACTTCCGTATCTGCTACCTTATTCCAGCGTAAATGCATTTCATGCATTAAGTTTGTTTGATGGTTTCCAATCGGGTTTTCGCCTAGGTTATCAGGGACCCCGCCTGTTTAGATCTGCAGGTAACTTGTCGTCGGTCAAACAACCTGAGTCACAATCCATAGTCAAGGCCAAGCTGGATAAAGAAGTCATGTTGGGTAGGATAGCTGGGCCCTACTACGACCCACCATTCGAAAGTTTGCAAGTGTCGCCTATTGGCTTGGTCCCAAAGAAGCAAGACACCACATCCTCTCGCTGGCTTGTTCAGGATAACTATGATTAATTCATCATCTTTCATTCCCACAGGGTACTTCAATTAAGATAATATTCCACAACAAGAGTGCTCTGTTACCTACGCACGCTTTGACGAAGCCGTGGCCATGGTACAACAGCTTGGACAAGCAGCTCAGTTAGCAAAATTTGACATTAAGTCAGCTTTCAGGATAATTCCCGTACATCCAGCGGACTTTGAACTACTGGGCATCAATTTCCAAGGCTTGTATTATTTTGACAAATGTTTGCCCTTTGGTTGTGCAAGTTCATGTTCAATCTTTGAAAAGTTTAGTTCCTTTCTACAGTGGTGTATGCCGCAGGACCTCCCAAACGGCCAAGCTTATGCACTATTTGGACGATTTTCTCACAGGGGGTAAGTCAGGCACAGCTGAATGTAACCAAAACCTGCATATTTGTCTCAACCGTTAGAGCCAATTTGGTGTTCCGGTAGCTCCCGAAAAAACAGTGGAACCCACTACCTGCATCACGTTTCTGGGTCTCGAGATCGACACGATGGCTATGCAGGTCCGCATACCACGAGACAAAATCGGCGCCGTTACCATGGAGATCAGGGGCTTGATTGAAACAGGTTAAATTAAGATCACAAAGCACCAGTTGCAGTCACTGGTGGGTAAATTCAACTTCATTTGCCGCGCTATACCGATGGGTCGTGCATTCTGCTGCAGATTTATTGACCTCATGTGCACTGTAAAATCGCCGCATCATCGAATCCGGATTACACGGTGGGTAAAACAGGACCTATCTATGTGGCTAACATTCTTGTCGGGTTTCAATGGTATATCAGT